ATTAAATGAAATATATTTTATATTTTTTATTAAACATTTTGTTTTCTTTTAAAAGGCTATTCATTCTTTTCTATTTATAATAACTTAAAAGATCTAACCCTTCAAAAGAGAATATTATTAACTTTGTTCGGACCCCACAGAAGATTGAACAGATGAGTTGGTGTTTCGAAATTTTGTAACTTTAACCATCTATACATTCTGCAATTTTCAATTGATACTACAACAATACAAAAGTTATATACTCGCGTCACACAATTTTATGCAAAATTACAAAACTCGCAATAGGAACGTTATTGTTTATTAAGATGGATATCTTTAGACAAATATATTATTATTATTTAAATAGTCATGAGCAATAGAACTCATTGGACTCGAATGTTCCTTTCTTACACGTTAATATTTTATTTATAATAATATTAATTGTGTTGTTAAACTGTTATTCTGTGACGATTCCGTCTACAAAGATGAATATTTCAAATAATATTGCTTTTAAATTGCATTTTATACGAAAAAAACTCGTAATAATAATTTGTAATATTATATTTTTATTTATCATTTTTACAAACTTAAAAAGAATCTATACTAATATGTATATGTCTACCAATATTTCAAATTTTATATTTTATAATGGTTTCTAGATTTTAATGTACGACTCATGTGCTATGTACATAATATATGTTAATTTGTACAAGATGTCAAATATACACTAGAATATTGTCTGTTTAACTCAGAACTTCAAAACATGAATAATTTTTCAAACACTAACATTTCCCCCTCCCCCCAATATTAAAATTTGAAATTTTTATCCAATTTATCTAATTGTTAGTATCTCGTTAGTATTCCATCCTTTCTAAATAGTATTTAATTATGTATTTTGAATTTCTTTTTTAGGTTCCTAGCGTAGCGAAGGAGCTATTGGATTTACTAACATGTTTATTTATTTTTTTTCTTTATTCTATTCTGTAGATAACTTTTTTTTTCTTAATTAACTTGCTCCAAATTTTAATGTGTATCAACTTTTCTGAAAGCTCAATTTTTCTAAATGGTACTTTAAAGAAGTAATTTTTTGATGTTCAACGCCATTTTTTTAAATAAAAACACTTAAGTGGAAAAAAACGTAAGAAAACATAATGTTAAGTTAAGACAAATTACGGCACTTCAAATTATGTATTACCGAACTGTGCTCGAAATTGTCTTTCGTCAGAAATGGTTAATCGTTGCTTGCAAATATAAATGAAATAACCTCTTATATCCCATATTTCCCACTACCCACCTACAAAAGTGGCAGAACTCATCCTCTATATCAGTTTTTTTTTTTATTATGTATTCTTAATACTTTTTAAAAGTTTTTAACCCATATCTGACCATAGTGTAAAACACAACATCCGATCTAATTCAGAAACACAAATTTAAATTAAAATGTTAAATTTTATTTAAAAATAAATAAAAGAAATGTAACAAAATAATATATTTTTATTGTTTAACTGATTGTAAGCTATAATAGTTATAAATGATAAGCTCTTTAAATATTTTATTTATTGAATTACAATAATTTTAACAGCATTTAAATAATACAATTTTCAAATTGTATAATTTAATATTTGGATACAGAGAATATAATTATTAATTTTTGAATACAATAGCGTAGCGTCCTTATGATTTTACGACTTCTTTATTAGTAGACATTATTCAATACAATACTAAGGTATATAATTTATCTAGTGAATTTAGCTATGTTGAAAAAAAATTTTTCATAATTCCAAAATTAAATTATGGATTTCTGAACATAACAAATTAAAATACATTTAATGTTAATTATTTTTGTTATAAGTTTATAACTAAATAATTAAACCATAGTGTTTTCAATATCCATGGTTTCTAAATCGGGACTTATTTCTAAATTTGGTACTGGCTGATATTTCGGAACATTTTTGGGACGAGATGTAATCATATTATTAAGAATTTCTCGAGATAAAATCAAATGAAAAGAAGACGATTCAACTTTAATTATATTAATCCATAACAAATAAATGGAGTTAACCATTACATTGTGTATATGCCTATTATCAATAATATCTTGGAAAAATTTGTGGAAATTTGAAATGTAATTTTTAGCGATTTGTTTTAGACTTTCTATCCGGATCCAAATCTCTGGCAAAGTTGTTTCTGAAACCGAAATTCCTTGAATTGGAATGTAGGCTTCCATGTTCATATAATTAATTGAAATTTCGTATAATTTTACGAAACATTTTTGGTAAAGAGCTATTAATTTATCATCGTTTGCTATTGTAGTATTTTGGATTACGCGTTCTTCGTAATCACTCAATTCTATTTCCAATATTTTAAAACTCCTTTGATAGTCTAACCCTGAAATTTCCATTAGCTTTCTTATGTGTATAGCCATATTAGAGCAGCATTGAACATAATTAATTCTAGTATTTTCATCATTAAATAAATCCGACGATCTTACATGATTGCATTGTTGTATGAATGATGCAATTAATCGGACGATAGCCGCCGCTACAAAATAAAAAAATTTGTTGCTGATATCAATTGATTTATTTATTTTATTCAATCCAATAATTTCGACGTCGTCGTCTGTTGATTTTAACTTTTTAAGCAGCTTATCCTTATCATTGTTCCAGCTTGAATTGTTTTTTTCGAAATCCCATCGAAGTGTATCAACAGTTTCATTGGTAAATTTAACATCACTGTACAACCATTTTGAAGGATAATATTTTTTATAATTTGAATATTTCAAGGTATGCGAGTTCAAATCAAGTAAAAACGCTATTTGAATTAAATTTACAT